GAAGGAGAGTGGCGAGGCAAACATGTGATCTAGCCATTTTTGTCGTAAAACTGGGTTTTGCTTAGGAACTTCAGATTTGTCAGGTGGAGCCAGACAAATACTACTTAGTACTGTCCGCTCTGCGTTTATTGGTCGCAAGCCTGCTCGGCGGATTCTCGGTGGAGCCGGTGCATTCTCTCTCAGCACTTTATGCTGGGTGAAGAATGGTCCTTTAGGCCACAAGAGGTCCCTGCCTGAGCTTGCGCTTCGAGTATCTTTTTCCCGCTGAGCTACCTGAAAGGTAGACCTCAGCCCAGTTGCTATCTTCCCCTCTACCCAAGGTAGATGTCAGCAACACTCAGTGAGTCCATTGTCTGCATGGGCGACAGAAGTAGTGAGTGGAGAGATGCCGGGATGGAGTGACAGGGCACGCTTCTCGCTTGTGGAGTAGTATGTGTGCACGCCAACAGCATTTTCCAGCTTCGCCGGTGTAGTTGCTTTCCCTCTATCGACGCAGAAGCCATGATGTCCGCCGAAAAGGATGTGAAGGAGGTTGAGGAAGCCCCGAAGGAGTCGCGGCTCGTTGGCAGAGCAGTCCGAAGCACACGCACTTGTTTTTGGTTGGGTGCACGTGTTCCGCGGCCTTCAGGTTCGGTGGCTGCGACTCGTGCTCTGGTGTCAGCTGCACCCCCGACGGCCTCATCGGCTTGAACACCTACGTCCCCCGACTAAAATCATGTGAGTGCTTTACAACTTTCCAAGAGACATCTGCTTTGCGACAGAATCTCCGGATAATTAGCCGACGGAGGACTGGAAGTACCTCTGCATCCCGTCGCTGCCTTGCTTCGGGCCAGCGAAGTCCCCGCCGCTTCTCAAGCCGGATTCGAAGCTGCCCCTGATGCTGCCGCTAGCATGCAAGAGACGACGTGAGCTTGCCACGCTTGGCCAGGCACCTTCGACATAGACTTCTGAAGCCGAACTTTGAGACCTTAGGTTAACAGTACAAGTAGCTTGAGAGACTTGTATGGTGGTGGGATGTGGTTGGTGCTGGTTGTGGTCTCGGCAGTGACGGGGACGGGGACGGTTATTACTACGAATTTGGTTGTGCCCACGCTATCTGTAGTCACTGCAACTAGACAGCGATCTAGACAGATCGAACAACATACATACATACATACATACATACATACATACATACATACATACATGCATACATGCATACATGCATACATGCATACATGCATACATGCATACATATGTACATACATATGTACATACATACATATGTACATACATACATACATACATACATACATACATACATACATACATACATACATACATCTTACATGCATACTTGCAAACATGAATACATCCGCATGGACTTTTGTATGTATGTATGTATGTATGTATGTATGTATGTATGTATGTATGTATGTATGTACTTCTACATAGAGAACGCACGCTTGCAGTCTGATAGCATCTGAGTCTGACAACCAACCTTGTGGTGCTCCCTGAGCACGATGAATCTCGTCTTGTCGTCATGTTCATGAACCCTAAACCCTACACCCTAAACCCCTAAACCCTGAAGTCATGAGTCATGTTCGTCATGGAGCGGAAGATGAGGATGGTGATGATGGGGGAGTTTCCGAAAATTACGGTACCTTTTTTGGGGGTCCTTATAATCAGGATCCTACTATTTTCAGGGTACTATATTAGGGTCCCCAATTTTCGGATGTTCCGGCACGTGAAGCTCTTCCGAGGTCGTTGATCATGGGGCTGCAGCATGCCCTGGCCATGCTGGGAGGCCCCCGACAGTGATTTGAGTTTCGCAAGCTGCGGCGGCCTGCAGTAGCAAGCTGGAGATATGCTGCATTTGTACGCCGAGACTCATGCTTGCAGCATACTCATCATCTCTTCTTGGCTTTAAGTAGTGGATGCTCTTTTTGGAAGGTATCATCACCCCGCCGTCGTTGATCTCCGGCGATGCCTGCTTTGCATGGCAGCTGGATCAGGAGCTTGCATGCAGACTCCCTGACGAAGTGCCCCGAAGCTTCCTCGCATCTTCTTTCGAAACTGTGACAGCAACAGATCGCCCGCTCTGTCGTCCCCACTTTGTCGACAGGAGCTCTGTGACTCCAAGCAGCAGCTTGGAAAGCAGAAGGTTCGAAAGTCGGGGTTTGGGGTGCTAAGTGTCCTGGTGCTCTTAGGTACAT